ATCTCATAACCAACATTCTTTGATTCATAACCACACCACTTTACTCATAACTACTAATCACATATCTCATAACCAACATTCTTTGATTCATAACCACACCACTTTACTCATAACTACTAATCACATATCTCATAACCAACATTCTTTGATTCATAACCACACCACTTTACTCATAACTACTAATCACATATCTCATAACCAACATTCTTTGATTCATAACCACACCACTTTACTCATAACTACTAATCACATATCTCATAACCAACATTCTTTGATTCATAACCACACCACTTTACTCATAACTACTAATCACATATCTCATAACCAACATTCTTTGATTCATAACCACACCACTTTACTCATAACTACTAATCACATATCTCATAACCAACATTCTTTGGCTCATAACCACACCACTTTACTCATAACCACTAATCACATATCTCATAACCACACCACACTACAAGAAAAGTGGGCTTATGAGGCGGAACTTTTTGCAACGTCACATTTGCCGTCGCAAAAAATGACTTTTTGCGATGGCACAACTTGCTGTCGCAAAAAATATGACTTTTAGAGACGGCATAACTTGCCATCTCAAAAAATGTGACTTTTTGAGACGGCACAACTTGCCGTCGCTAAAAAATGTGGCTTTTTGAGACGGCACAACTTGTCGTCGCAAAAAATGTGACTTTTGGAGACGTCAGAACTTACCGTCTCAAAAAAATGTGACTTTTTGAGATGGCACAACTTGCCGTCGCCAAAAAATGTGACTTTTTGAGACGACACAACTTGGCGTCGCAAAAAAATAGAGCATTTGCGATGATAGAAATTGCTGTCGCAAAAAAAAAAGAGTATTTGCGACGGTACCAACTGCAGTCGCAAAAAAAAAAAAAAAGAGTTTTTTGCGATTGTAATACGTATCGTTGCCAAATATATATATATATATATATATATATATATATATATATATTGTGGCTTTAAGACAGCTTCATATATATATGGTCATAAAATGGTTTAAATAAATGCAACGGTATTTTTTTGTTACAAAAAATAAATAAAAAAATAAAAACGACGTTGTTTTACTCTTTCGAACATTTCTCTTTTCACCAATTTTTTCATTTTTCTATCTCTCTGTCTCTGTCTCTGTCTCTCTTCTCTTTCTCTCTCTCACTCATAACTCTTCTCTGTCTGTCTGTCTCTTTCTTTCTCTATGTGTCTCTGTCTCTCTTGTCTCTCTCTTTCTCACTCATCACTATTCTTTGTCTGTCTGTCTCTTTCTTTCTCTCTATGTCTCTGTCTCTCTTCTCTTTCTCTCTCTCACTCATCACTCATCACTCTTCTCCGTCTGTCTGTCTGTCTCTGTCTCTGTCTCTCTCTCTCTCTCTGTGTCTCTCGTCCATCTTTCTTCTCTTTATCTCTCTCATCTCTCATCTCTCTCTATCTGTCTTCTCTTTATCTCTCTCGCTCATCTCTCTCTGTCTCTCGCTCATCTCTCTCTGTCTCTCTCTCGTCTATCTCTTTTCGCTCTCTCTCTCTCTCTCTCTCTTTGTCTATATCTTTTCATTCATTTTTTCATCTTTCTTTCTCTCTTCTCTTTCTTTCTCTCACTCATCACTCTTCTCTTTCTGTCTGTCTGTCTATCTGTCTCTCTCTCTCATTCATCTATCTCTTCTCTCATCTCATCTTTTCTCTCTCTGTCTCTTTCGCTCATCTCTCTTCTCTTTATCTCTCTCGCTCATCTCTCATCTCTCTCTGTCTCTCTCGTTCATCTCTCTTCTCTCTATCTTTCTTTCTGTCTCTCTTGTTCATCTCTCTTCTCTTTATGTCTCTCTCGCTCATTTCTCTTCTCTCTATCTCTCTGTCTCTCTCGTCTATCTCTCTTCTCTCTATGTCTCTTTTCTGCCTCTCACTCTCACTCTCTATCTCTTTCTTTCTCTCTCTCTCTCTCCCACTGTGTTTGCGTTGCTCACTCTCTCACTCTCATCCTCTCTATTTACTAAGCTTCCTCTCGATTTATCGATCTACTACAAGAAAATGCACTTTTAGCGACTACTTTGTCTCTCTCTCGCTCATCTCTCTCTCTCTCTCTCTCCTCTATCTGTCTCTCACTCATTTCTCTCTCTCACCATCCATCTCCACTACCACCTTCACCACTACTACAAACGTCATTCCACCCCCACCACTACTTCCACTATCGCCACTTCACCTCTACAACTACTATTACTACTATCATCACCACCACTCCACTACCGCCACTACCACTACCACAACTTCACCACTAATCTCTTTTGCCATCCCCATCACCACCACCACCACCATCATCTCTTATCCACCATCTTCACTACTACTGTCACTCCCTTTCCTTTACCACAAAAAATTAGTTCATGATTTTTAGTAACCAAAAAAGAATAGGCCTCAGAAAAATATTTTTCATTGACTACAGAAAATTAACTTTTATTTTAGTGAAAAATATTTTTTATTAAAATATTACCCCTACTTCTACCAAATAAAAAATAATAATATTTTTTTTCATTAAAATAAAAATGAAACAAATAAATTTGCAATCTTAGTAACTAAAAAAAAAAGGAATTTTTTTAACAAAATTTATTAACTACAAAAAAATATATATTTTAACAAAAAATAAAATTTTTTGATGATGTCAACCCCCGCAGCAAAAAAAAAAATAAAAAAAAAATGATATTATTTTATTATTTGAATTTCATTTGTGACTAAAAAAAAAAATTTTTTTTTTTATTCCTCTTTTTTTTTTCCATTCCCGCTCCCTACCCCCCCTCCTCTTTTTCCCATTCCCGCCAAAAAAATCCCTAATCTCAAACCCAAAAATCCCCAATCTCTACTTACCCACCCCCCCTCTCTCTCTATCTCTCTCTCTCTCTATCGCGATCGACGGCGAGCGGCGTCGGAGCAGCGTCGTCAATTACCCTATCCCTCAATTACCCTTATTCTTCTACTCACCCCAAACCCACTTCATCACTCAGGTCTCTAAGCTTCTCTTCCACCACTTCTCACAATGTCTTCTCCACAGGTGCTACTCAAAAACCCATTTCTCTGTATTTGCCTTTTCTCAGCTCAAATCACAAAACCCTTGTTCTTAAATAGTTTTAAAAAATTGTTTTTTGGTAATATTTTCAGGTTTGATTTCGATGAGCCCTGTTGTGAGGCCGACTCGTCACTCGATTATTTGCGAGGCTGCTCCGAATAAGAAGGCCGATTCGGCTGCGAAAAGAGCTCGTCAAGCAGAGAAGAGGCGTGTCTACAACAAAGCTCGGAAATCCGAGGTCAACACTTGGATGAAGAAGGTATTTTATTTGTGGGTTTGCTTGTTTCTTAATTGTAGAGTAAAGTGGCATTTGATTATGTTGAGTTTTACAGGGTTATTTCAGTTTTAGATTGAGGTATTGCTCTACCATAGCTTGAATTTTGAAGCATTGCAAACTTGGTTTTGAGGACTCAAATTTGTGGTGCCTTCTGCCCTGCCCTCTCTACCACTGCATATCATGCTCGAGGCTAGGTATTTGCCCCTGATTTGTGTGCAGTCTAGATCTGGAAAATACCAGATGTAGAGTTTTTCCTTATATTATGAAGAAACTTGATCTCTGTGCCTTGCTACCTGTTCCATGTTAGAATCTTCTGTTTTGTTTTATTTTATACTTTTCCCTTGTACTTTTGGTGAACTCAATGATAATTAACTGCAAACTTCTGCCTGTAACATTTTAATATTCTTCAACTTTAATTTGAGTTGCATGGGACCTTAATAAACTATATAATGTCAAAATCGAAAGGATTCATAAATGTATGCTGATCCCAACCTACGGTTTAGTCTGCAGTTGTCTATTTGTTACTTAAATTTGCTGTTGACTGGGTGGACGGACAAATTATCTACCTAGAGGCTCAAGAAACTGCTGTTGTTGTTAACTTTTGTATGCGTTTGCTTCAGCTTTACTCTTCTCACAAGAAACTGCTGTGAATGATTCATTCAAGTGATGATTATGCCTAATTTTGTGAGTTTGTTCTTCTTTTGAATTTGGGAAAATTACTACATGAATCGATTTGGATTTGAAATTTTATTTCTTTATTTCTCAAGTATATTCGTTATAGAATATGATTAGTCAACATTCAATTCGTGATTAATAGGTATAAACTTCACTAAAATTGTAAACAGTTTTGGGAGTTTGAGTGCTTTGGCTCTGAAATGGAGATCCTTGGAGTGCTTTAACTTGAACTACCTGACATATTATTTCTTTCCTTTCCATTGCACCTGTGTTACATAGACCATTATCCCTTGGTGGACAGGTATATATATATCTACTGTGTTGCTCTTATATAATAACCTTGGTGGACAGGGTGTTTGATGAAATGCCTCAAAGAAGAATTCATCTTATTGCAAATCAACTTTACATAGTGTTAGTATGATTTGACATCAAACCTTCCAGACTAGAGTCAGTCCATTAGATCATGTCAAATATTTGAGACACTAAACAAGCTTAGTTATAGATTAATTGAGAGAGAGAGAGAGCATGGCTTCAAACTTGGTCTTTTGTTTTAATTAATGTTTTTAGAGTCTGCTTTTAGGTTTCCATATATTCTTGGATTTTTTGCATTTATGATTGTCATTATGTTGCTATGCCTCCATGGTTATTTGCATTATTTTGAAATGTATTTACTTCGCTGAATTGTTATGCTCATGGGTCATGGCATTGGTATAGTTATTTTGAATTGCTTTGTATAATCTCTTTCATGGTTAGTCAATTATTGTTATTATTATTATTTGTAGTTCATTTGCATCTGTTCAGGTTTTCCTTAATTTCTTTTCCCCTGTCTTTCATTTGCATTTGTGATTAATGACCTTAATAAATAAAGGTTCCAATTTAATTGCATCTGTTATCAACCGTGTTTGGATGAGGACAACTGAATGTCTCAGTATATTAATGTTGCAACTTGTTTATTTTGTTTTTAGGAGTATGAATTAGATGGAATTGATTGGACAAAGTAGATTTTGAAGACAACCAAGAGTGTTTGGATCTCTTTGAGAAGGTAGTTCTGATTTTAACACAAACACATACACGCACACACACTCAAATGTTCATTGTCGAGTTTTTTAGAGTTCCTTGTGTTGATCTATGTGAGCATTGGACTATATTTCATATACATATGATGCCATACCACATAGATCGTCCTAGGTCTCTGACTATTTTTGTTAGCCTTTCATGCATAATTCAAACCATGTTCTTATTGTAATATTGTTTCTTATAAACTGAAGTTGTAAAGAAAATAAAAGATTGAATATATTGCTTCCTAAGCATAATTATACACCAAGTTCTCATCTTTTTGATCATACCATGTTATATGAAACCTAATTATAGGTTTTCATATTTAAATTCACTCCTTCATGTGTGGTAGATTGTGTGTTAATGGCTTCACTGCTATGCATTTTGCAGAAACCTATAGGGCTAATATCTTTGTTGGATGAAGATTCAAATTTCCCCAAGGCCACTGATTTGACCTTTGCTAATAAGCTTAAGCAACACTTGAGTGGTAATCCTTGCTTTAAAGGAGAAAGAGGTGGAGCTTTTGGTATTTGCCATTATGCTGGAGAGGTATGTTGTTAGATGGTGTAGCTAGCATTAACTAGAAATTTACAGCTCAAATTGGTGAATCTTTTGACTACACTGCGATGTGTACTGTTTCCAAAATAATAAAGACGAAATAACTAACAAATATAGGACAATTGAAGATGTTATGTTAAGACATTTTATGGGAAGAACTTGGTGTAAGATGTTATGGGAAGAAATTTTAACACTAGTCTCAAATTTCAGTAGCGTAATAATTGAGCCACATCTACTATGTAATCACCACTTAAGGCAAAACAAAAGCAATACTAATGTACTAAAAAATGAAGAGAAGGTTGGAGGAGATGAACAAGTTCACATCTTCATTTCATTATTATGTTTGGTATGCAATTAGGTGCTAAGCTTTCCTCTGTTCTTTCTTTACACTACCATTGAGAATATGCTCATTTTTCTTTCAATTCCTAGATGATGAAGAACAAGAAACCAGCTAAGCTCCCAATGAGGCTACTAGGCACTGTTTTTTTCTTTTTCTTTTTTCTCTATGCAAAAACCTATGTTAGTTAAACCTATGTTATGTAACAACTGTATTAATTTGTTTTCTATCCAAACTCGGATCGGATAGATGTTAGTTGTTGCTGTAAAGTGAGAAAATTAGAAAGATTAATAACAGAGGATGAAATGATTGATAACCATAGAGATGTGGACAGCAAAGTAGGTTTATTTTCTGTAAGGTTGTCATAGGTGTTTTCTATTATTTAGATGGTTTTATATATATTCTATCAACATAATTGTTGAATTAATCATTGAGAAATGAGTTATAATTGATAATGTAAATAGAGTCTTAATGGCAAGGTAACGACATTCATGGCAAGGTAATTGATAATGTAAATAGAGTCTTAATGGCAAGGTAACGACATTCATGGCAAGGTAATTGATAATGTAAATAGAGTCTTAATGGCAAGGTAACGACATTCATGGCAAGGTAATTGATAATGTAAATAGAGTCTTAATGGCAAGGTAACGACATTCATGGCAAGGTAATTGATAATGTAAATAGAGTCTTAATGGCAAGGTAACGACATTCATGGCAAGGTAATTGATAATGTAAATAGAGTCTTAATGCTCAAATGACTAACGACATTCATGGCAAGGTAATAATTCAGTAAATAGAGTCTTAATGCTCATAGACAAAGTCTTACCATAATGTAAATAGAGTCCAGAAGATATATGGCAAGGTAATTGATAATGTAAATAGAGTCTTAATGCTCATAGACAAAGTCTGACCATAATCTCTTTTTTGGCGTTATTTGTTCAGCTTGCATAATTCAGTTTTATAAAAGGGGTTAGTGGAATTGTTTGATTATCACTAGGAATTTTGAATCTTTTTTTTTTGCTTCTTTTCTTTTCTTTTCTTTTCAGTTTGATTAATCATGGAATAATCTCTTTTTTTTTTTTATTATCCGTTCCTTAGTTTGCCGCTTGAATCTGGAAAATGTGAATCATGTGGTGCTGCGGAACTCGGGACATGCGAAGGTATTTTTCATGTTTTAATCCTTTTTTGTTTTCTGATTACACTGAGAAGTTTGAATGGTCATGACCGCTGGACACATTGAAGTATTGCTAAAGTTTTGTTCATTTTTTTACCTTTCAGGTCACTTTGGGTATATAGAATTACCAATTCCAGTATATCATCCTTCCCATGTGAGCGAACTAAAGCGGTTGTTGAGCCTGGTTTGCTTTAAGTGCTTGAAGTTGAGAAGTGCGAAGGTAATGGATATGTTTATAGAAGGCTCCACGTAAAATCTATTTGTCATAAGTAATTAAATCTTTTTGCTTTCTTGATTGAGAGGGTAGCAGATTATTGTGTTGTGTTATGGAAAGTATAAGTTTCTGCCATTGCATCCTCAGAAGTCATGCTCTGCCACTAATATTAACTTCAATACTGTTTACTCCTCTTAGGACTGCCAACATTGCTTTATACTTGTCTTTATAAGTTTCTATTACTTTTTTGGGGTTTATTAGTTTGCATGCTTCTATTACACTTCGTGCCATATCCACTGGAGCATGTTGCACAGAATCCTGCTTTCTTTGTGTCTTTTCATTGCTCCTTGATATTTAATTTCCTCTCTTATGTGGTGAAACATAATGTCACTAAGATATATGCCTATGCTAGTTGCTCATACTATTGTTTTGTGCTTGGACCAGTTTATGCAGATGGAAGTATTTGTCTGGATATTCTACAAAATCAGTGGAGTCCAATATATGATATAGCTGCTATACTGACATCTATCCAGGTATGATGGAGTGTATATATGGTTCAAAAATATCTATTGCTAGGAATGGTCAGATGATATTGCTCGTAGTAAAAAATCACCCTTTGATTTTGATTTAAAGATACTAGTTTCGAATGATTAGTGAAATGGTAAACTGAAGCTGTTGTAGTTAATTTGCTTGAAAAAGAGTTATTCAAAAGAACTTTTTCTGTCAATTTTTTGGTGGAGTATGACAGATTCGTGTTTGTTGATTTTGAGAAAAAAGGGCGTCAAGCCTGCAACCAATTTAGAGTATGCTAGCACAAAACATATCTCCTTTGGCTCTTGTGCTATTTATTTTTTTCTTTATGGTTTCCACTTTCCTCTATGTAGGTAATATAAAATATGAGAAATCTAGAATGAAATACAAAAATATTTGAGAGCAGCAAAATAAAGTTGATTGGTTTGTGCATACCTATCTATCCACTTTATTTAACAGAACTTTTACTTTTCTTTTTTAAACAAATTTTCATAAGGTAGCAGAATTGAACCCATGTTGGCCACTCCATGCATACTATCCCTTGGATTTAGTGTGGCAAAATAGCGGCCAACCTTTCATTAATTGTTAACAGGCTCATAGATATAACATAACAACTTGGGGCACGTGTTTATGCGTGGTGTATATTAAATTCATACTGTGCAATCATTTTACTAATAAATAAATGAGCAAAACTGGCAAATGCATGTAATAAACTCAGCAGTTTGTCAATTGTTCAAGCATGACTCTACCATGCCAAATAGATATAACTTCTAGGAATGTTTTGATTCCACAAAGCTACTGGTCACTAGTTCAGGTATGATATTTTTTGATTTTTCCCATTTTTCTCATTGCAGTCATTGCTCTGTGATCCAAACACAAACCCAAGCCCAAATGCAGGTTTTCTCATTTCAGTCAATGCTCTGTGATCCAAATGCAAACTCACCTGCAAATTCAGAAGCAGCATTGTTGTTTAGTGAGAACAAGCGTGAATACAACCAGAGGGTGCGTGAAATTGTTGAGCAAAACTGGACAGAAGACTAAATCTCTCTTGCTTTGGGTGCTATAGGACGTAATTAAGCTGCTTCAAATCACTAATCTTCCTCGTTGTAGGTGGCTGGTCTGATTTTCTCTGGTGTTTGTGTATCATTGCTATATTAATTACAAATGTAATAGAAAGTATTATGTTTACAGGTTGTAATTTAAATTATTGACGTTGGTTATTCATGTATTATGTATGGATTTAAATCATGGTTATTCATGTATTATGTTGAATGCTTTAATGGTTGATAATATATTTTAGTGTTGATGGATTATATTGTTTATACAGGGTACAGGTTGTAATTTAAATTATTGACGTTAGTTATTCATGTATTATGTATGTGATTTAAATCATGGTTATTCATGTATTATGTTGAATGCTTTAATGGTTGATAATATATTTTAGTGTTGATGGATTATATTGTTTATACAGGGTACAGGTTGTAATTTAAATTATTGACGTTAGTTATTCATGTATTATGTATGTGATTTAAATCATGGTTATTCATGTATTATGTTGAATGCTTTAATGGTTGATAATATATTTTAGTGTTGATGGATTATATTGTTTATACAGGGTACATGTAATATAAATGAATACAGGTTGTTTACAAATTTTTTTTTTTTAAAAAAAAAAACAGAAAAATATTTGACCACCAAATGTTTTGGTAGCCAAATAGGTAATCAAAAGTTTTGGCTACTAATAATTTAGTAGCAAAAACATAACCCAAAACGTTTTTGCCACCAAATAATTAGTAGCTAAAAAATTTGAGAATGAGAGAAATAAACTATTGGCTACTAAATTTTTTAGTCACGGAAAAAAGGGTATCATTTGGCGACTAAAACTTTTGGTGGCAAAAAGTAAAGAAATGAATCTTAATAGGTTTTTGGCTACGAACACTTTTAGTCGGCAAAAGTCACCACGCCTAAGGTAGAACTTTTAGTGACTAAATGGTTAGTAGCTAAAAGTTTAATAAAATGAAAAATAATATTTTTGGCGACTAAATTCTTTAGTCCCTAAATGTAGTAATGTTGTGACTAAAACTTATTCCCGACAAAAATTTTTAGTCGCTGAAAACTTAATTTATTTTATTTGAACACTTTTGGCGACTAAATATTTAGTTGCCAAAATATACCCTTTCCCGACTACTCAGAGTTTGGTAGCCGAATGTTCACTTTTGGCGACTAAATATTTAGTCGCCAAAACATACCCTTTCCCGACTACTCAGAGTTTGGTAGCCGAATGTTCACTTTTGGCGACTAATATTTTAGTCGCCAAAAGATAACCTTTGCCGACTAACCAGAGTTTAGTAGCCAAAACGTTCACTTTCAGCGACCAAAAATAGTTTAGTCGCCAATACTATCGCCGACAGGGTATAGGCGACTAGTTTGGCGACAAAATATTTTAGTCGCTAATTGTTTTGGCGACCAAAAATGGGGCTTTTGACGACCAATATTTTGGTCGCCAAAAGTAGCATTTCCTGTAGTGATATGAGACACAAAAGCAACAACGAAGTGATCTCTAATGGTGAAGGCAGGGAAAAGCAGCGTCGGCATCGGTGGTGAGGTGGCGGAAAGCAGCGCCAGTGTTGGTGGTGAGCAGTGGAAAGAAGTAGCAGTGGCCAAGTGTGGTTATATTCTAACTAGTCTTTAGCAACTAAAATGAAAATATGAGAAAATGGAAAGAAAATGTAATGATGATAAGGAGATGGAACAGGTGAATAAAGTCAGGAAGATGGAAGGTTGAATAAAATAAGGTGAAAAGTTGTTTAAAATAATTATCCGTACAAATGAAAAGTTGGATAACGTGTAAAGAAAAAAAAAGGAAGGTAATGATGCATTTGAGATTTTCAAAAAAAAGTGAAAGATTGTTTAATATTTTTTTTTCAAGATGATAAGGTTGAAATACCTCCAACTAATAAAATGAAGACACCTGGCAAGAAATTTCATTTTATAATATTTCGATCGGATCGGGTTCATTTATTTTTTGATATATTCATCCGATATTTGACAAGGAAAAAATAAAAATCTACATTCTTCATCCGTGGCCGATCGAAATGACTGGCGAAACCGTCCATGAGCTTTCGGTTCGAGTCGGCTTAGTCGGATTGATCGGGTTGGACAAATTTTTGAACATCCCTAATAATATTCATGCTAATTATCTTCTTTATTATGCTTTGCATCAATAAATATCTTATTTGCTGTCGATCGGAAAAAAAAAAAAAAAAAAATTATTGATTTATCTTCTTATAAATAAATGTACCTCCCAACATAATTATATTCTTAAATTTTGTGGATCGTATTTTCCAACAACATACATCATATATATGAAAGAAAAAGATTACAAAATAACTTGGTAAAAAACATTATGTGAGGCCAATAAAAATCACAAGTAAAAATTAAAGTTTATATTCCCATGGGATTTCTTCTTTGAGAAGTGGTGTGGAGGAGAGTACTTTGCTATATTCTTCTATTCCTCCTTGCAATTCAATTGCTTCACCATGTGTCTTCTTGCACTGAAAATACAACACTGTGAAGCTCATCCATTGAAACACCATCACCAAGCTGCTTAAAACTGCCATTACAAGCATCATAACTATCTGTGTCGATAACGATGATTTTTTATCTCCACTCATCATAGTAGCCATAAATACAATCACAATTGGTAGAGCGAAGACAAGATTTAGGGCAAACCCTTCTAGCCTCTTGCCTTCAACAAGTCTTGAGGCTTTTCTTAAAGCTTGAATTCCATAACAACTCTCTTCAATCACCGAAATCACCATTGCCAAATTCCAAAGAACCAATAAGTAGATCAAAACAATTGAGGTTAAAAAGTAAAGTGCTATAAAGATGAGCATGAATGTAAAGAGATGATCAGTGCCTACGATCGCTAAAGAAAACATTATAGCCAAAACAAAGACTATAATGTAACTTATGACAGTAAGTTGAAATAGGAGAAAAGTGACTGATGGTCTTACAAATAACTTGAAAAACCTTGAAAGCAAGTCTTTGAAAGATAAGCTCTTTCCATAGTAAGTCGCAGCTGATGCTAGAATCATTGATGAGATAGAGAAGACAGAGACGGTGAAGGAAGTGAGAAAGAAAGCAAACTCAACTAGGAGGAGGATTCGAATGTCATGTTTGATGTCAACGAACATATCAGCAGGATCAGTATAAGAGCTGTTTTGTGTTGGAAGATAAAGAAGGGCTTGTTTGGCAAGTAAATCACCGATGGATGGTCTGGTGAACAAGAGGAAGGAAGATGATAGCAGGGAGTTTAGGAGGATGGAGATTGTGGTTATGGTGGCTATGAGCTTCCCATTTTTAGATTGGAGGAGGAGTTTGATGGATTCCTTTAGAATTCCCACAAAACCAAGAAACTCTAAACAACATTGACCCATTGCACTATCAAGAACAAGTTATAGTTTTGCTCTAAGTTTCTTTTGTTTGTCCTGAGATAAGGGCCACCATTATTTATACTAGAAGGTGTGCACTTGCCAGGCTCCGTTTATTTTGACATAAAATGTTTTTTTCAAAATTATTTTATTCATTTTTTATTATTTGGTTAAACAAAAAGTAAATAAAATATTTTTTAAGAAAAATAATTTTTTCTTTATTTTCCCAAAAATGACTTGCCGTTACAAATTTCGTAAGTCGATTTTTACAAAGTTGACTTTCACTATCCTTCAAACACATTTAGCATTTTTAAATAAGTATCTTAACTCATTAAAAAGTCATAAATAACACTTTATTAAATCAAAATTTCTTTGTTAAGCAATAAAATATTTTTGTTTCAAGTGTCAACCAAACGTCGAAAAATAAAAAAAAAATAAAAAAATTGTATAAAATCAATTTAGAAGAAAAATATTTTTTTGTATAAAATATTAGGTCAAAACAAACAGAACGTAACCGAAGAAAGCTAATTTAAAAATTAAAAAATTGGAACAAAAAATTCATACCAAAAAGTCTGTTTCCTTTATAATAATATAGATAAATATATGGGCTATGTGGTGTAAGTTTTGCTTGAAACTATTCCTATAAAAATCTTGGGGGATTGATTACTAGGAAAAAGCCTTGAGATTAGACTGGCAATTCGTTGACAGGCCAATCTCCTTATTCAGTTTACATCAATTTATTTAATTATTTTTTGGGCTAATTATTAGATTATATGTGACACTCGTAGATTTTAACTCTTAAATTTTAAGTTAAATAGCAATATTATCCTATCATCCACCTGATATTAATATGATTGTTGGAAATTGAAGTTTGTGTCAGACTATATTTAAATCATGAATTTAAATAAGAATTAAAAAAAAAATGAGAGAAACTAGAAAAAAAAAATTAACTTATTATATTTCATTTATATTTTTATTTCCCTTCCACTTAAGTTTATAATTTAAACACAACTTAAAGAGATTATCTATGTTACAAAAATACTTTGACTACTGCCGATTCCATATATCTTTATCACGTTTTAGCTAATTACTAAAAATTCTATACCATCTTCTAAATTCCTAACTATAAGTTATCCCAAGTGGTGTTTGATGACTGACTAAAATAATAAAATAAAAAATAAAAAATTACTACAAAAAGTTAACTCATTTTATTTTTAGGATAGAAATTTAGCCATGTAGAATAAATAAATAAAGGATAAGAAAAGTCTCATTCATTCGTCTTCTATTTTAGTGGTCCAACATTCCTTTGAAGCATTAATTAAAATTTTCAAAATAATGAATTATTTTCTTTTCATATGACACGGCAACTTAGTGGTCCAGCATTCCTTTGAAGCATTAATTAAAAATTTCAAAATAATGAATTTTGATTATCAGGGAAATTCTTGAGACCTGTTTGATAACTATTTCGTTTTCAATTTATATTTATAAAAACTTTAAAAATTATCATAAAAATTTGTTTGATAAATTTTTTTAGTTTATAAATGGTTGTCTTAGTTTATAAATTTGAAGAAAAAATATAAACTCAAAAATTGAATTTACGTTGGTTTTTAAACAGAAATTTAAAAATTTTAATAATAATTTTTTTTTCAATTAATTATTTTCTTTCAAATAATTTGTTTTTCAAATAATTTTTTTTTAATTAATTTTTTCTCAAATAATTTTTTTTTCAATTATTTTTTTTTCAAATAATTTTTTTCAATTGTTTTTTTTCCAATTAATTTTTTTTTTCAATTAATTTTTTTTGAATTATTTTTGTTCAAGTAATTTTTTTCCATTTAGTTTTTTTTTTCAATTAATTTTTTTTAATTAATTTTTTTTTTCAATTATAATGTGTATAATCCCATTTTCATAAATAATAAAAAATAAATATAAATATTTTAAGCCTGAATAAACATATTTTTTAGTTTATGTTTTTAAAATTTTTCAAGCATTTTGCTTAAACGAAACGCGTTTGTAGTTTATATTTTTCTAAAAATAAACAAAAATCAGTTTGTAAAATTTTTGTAAACATAAACCAAAAATATAAACGTTACCAAATGCTACTAGTTTATGGTGTTAGTTATGACTCAGTTAATCTCACACTTATAACATAATTATACTGACTTATATTTTATTAATGTTAGATTAACTAAAACTAATGCAAACGAAGAAACATTAGAACAAACAAAAATAAATATATATTTTAATAGATAAGAGATGATAACATTGTATTAATTTTATTCACATGATTAATAAATTATTGATCAAAATAAGGCATAATTGTTAGGTAAATTATAACCTTAAGGAACATCAACAAATTACATTCAAAGTGTGGCAGCTGATTATATTTTTTCTAACCCTCAATGGGTAAATTATATTAGTTAGTGTGACCATTAGGGTTGCTTAACCCAATTAAGTTTACATAAGAAGATTATGAGTTTTGGGAGTCAAACAAACTTTAAAAATATTTTATTAATAACAAAAATGAATTTGAGACAGATTTAAATAAAAATGCTACAATTTTTCAACTTTCAGTATTAAATAAAATCAAATCTGATAATATTAACTTAAAAGTAAAATGTTATTACATCAGAGTTAATCAGAGTTCGGTCATAAAGTTTCAACTTTGATGGTTAAGCTTTAAAAGTCATGAATGAATTTACAAACTCAAATATAAAAGTTTGTGGATTGTCTGACTCCAGTCCAATAGTGTTGTTTGGACTCGTGAGCCTTACAGTTTAGAAAATAGATTATAAATTTTTTCAAAAATAATTGTGATCAAATTAGGATAAATTATTAATATGTCTTAATAATTAAACTTAATTCCCATCAAATCTTATTGAAAATAACTCTTAATAAAATCGTCACTAAAAATAATTTTTTGTGACGATTTTTTGCATGTCACTTAAAATTGACAATTAGTGACTTTTTTTTGTCACGATTTTATAAATTATTGCTAAAATTTACAATTAATGATGTTTTTCTGTAATGTGTTTTTCACATTGTTGCTGAAAGTTAAAAATTGGTGACTTTTTTGTGACAATTTTTTTATATTGTCGTTAAAACTTATAATTAGTGACATATTGTTGACAAAATTTCAAATTGTCGTTGAATATTAACAATTAGTGACTTTAATAGTATTTGATGAAAAACGTTATTAATTCTCATAGGATCTATTGGACAATAAATTTACCTATTAGGATCTACACGTAAGTTCTCTATAAAATTACATATCTATCTATATCAGATTAACTTAATTTTTTTATGACTGATCTACATGTGATGATCTAAAAAATGAACAACTTGAAAAAATGAACAACTCGAATCGAAATAAAATCTGTGATAAGTTTCATAGACTTGAACAATGTTGTCCAATCCAATAACTGAACTAGAGACAGCCATTCCCAAGATAAAATACATCATCAAACTAATATAAGGCTTCATCTGGGAAGTGAATTGGCTTTTTAGCTTTTTGACTTTTTTAGCTATTTTAGTTTGGGCCTAAAAAACCTAGTTTGGGAAGAGCTTTTGATTTTTTTGGTTTTTTTTAGTTTTTTTGTAAGAAAAAAAATGTAATGATTATGGGTTGAATGTGATATTTTGTTTTATTGAGTAAAAAAATCTATTTTGTTTTTTGTGGTTATTTTAGCCAAAAAAATCACAAACCCTTCTTCCCAAACATAGGCTAAGAGTGCAGACTAACTAATTTTACAGTGTTCAGAAACAAAATAGTTAAGTATACATATTAGTAATGCCTAAAATAATAACAAAACTCAAAATAAGCTAAACATGGTACAAGTATAAATCCGCAAAATAATTAATATAGCTTAATGGATTAGCTTTAAAGTTGCTTATGTCCTAATAACAAAAGGAATAGCATTATTTATAATATATAAATATATGGGCGGTATAATAATATTGTGTGCGTTTTGTTAAGCTCTCAAGTTGCGTATGTCCTAAGAAAAGGACCAGCATTATTTTGAAATGTTTATATTGTGTCCATTTTATTACTACAAAAATGCTGGGGGATTGACTTCTAGCAAATTTAGGGGTGGTTTGGGTTAATCTAAATAAGTGTATTTTTGACTTTTTACGAAAAGATAGGCAAAAAAATAGAGAGGTGACGTGATGAAAAAAAGATAAAAAGATAAAAAGTGTGTACTTATTAGTACACCCCAAATAAGGCCTTAGAAAAGTCTAATTTTTTAATTTTTTTGGTTAAAATATGAGATAAAAAAAATTATTAATATTTGTGGAATAATTATTTGACTTCTTATATTTAAAAAATGTTCAAAAAATAGAGAAAAAAGTATTTAATTTTTTTTTATATAATTTTCTAACTTTTTAAATTTTTTAATAACCTTTAAACTATTTTATTAACTTCTTAAACTTGGTTGTCTTTAGTTGGCAACGCATATGACACCTTATTTGGTTGTCTTTTGGCTTGTTTTAGGAAGTATGTTAAAAGTATATTTATTTATTTAAAAAAAATATATATAAAAAAGTAGAGAAGTGATATAACCTAAAAAAACTAAAAAAATGCTTTTAACCATGGAATTAGATTAAAAGTCAGTTTATTGGTTTTTTTGACTTTTTTTAAGTCACATTATCTCTCTACTTTTTTATATATTTAAAAAAAAAACGAAAAAAGGACTAGAAATTTGATTTTTAATCTATTTCCCAAGTAAGTCAGGGTGTTTTGGGAAGAGATCAAAAAAGCTAAAAACTGGCTTTTTACCAATTTTGAATTACATCACCTCTTACATTAAACAGTGAAAAAAGTGAAACAAAAAAAAAAAAAACAAAAAAACAAAAAAACAAAACCAAAAAAAAAAAATAAATCAACTTTTTATTATCTTCCCAAAACACCATATAGCTTGTAAAAGCTATCAAAAAAAGTTGCGAGTGGTATTCTTTCAATCAACAAAAATTTGAAGTGATGCTTCACATCATTCACCCTGTAATATTTGGTTTTAAAAAATTGAGTTCGTTATTTTTCTTATTTTTTTATTTTTAGTAAATTTT